CCGTGAAAGAGATGAGATGCATTTATTCTGCTGTGCTCCACAGTGGTAAATCGGCCAAGCTCAGGCTTGTGTCCAGTTTTGGTTATCACATTTTAAGAAGGATGTAAGAAAATTAGACAGTCTAGAAGAGAGTGACAGGATTATGAAAGGTCTGAAAAACACAACCTAGCAGAAAGAGAAGACGAATGTGGGACATGACAGCATGTTTGATACTTAGAAGGTATAGAGAAAGGGTGAACAACTATTTTTCATGTCTGTGAGGAATAGGAGAAAAAAAAATTAATTTAATTGGCAATTAAAGAGATGCATTGTAATTAGAAGGAAACATTTTGTACGGAAAATGAACTACTCCAACCAGCTACTGCGGGCAATAAGAATCTTTTTTAGTGAAGGTATTTAAAGACAGTTTAGATAAATCTTGGTTCAGTATCGTTTAGGCAGATTTGACTCTGTCTCGGCGTAAGGGATGTATATCTTGAAGTCTCTTCTATCATTCTAATTCCATAATCACATGTTAGGGTTTTTTTTCTTTGCTATATATTCAGAAAAAATAAACTAATACTTTAAATCCTGCTTTAACGAATACTGAGGCATACAGATTTCAATAGTCATATTTGAAGGCAATAAGGAACTAACTAATCGTCCTGCCAGAAAAAAGCAGTACACCACTGACAGAATAAAACGCCTGGCACATCTAAAAAGTGAGGCCTCTTTCTAAGTTCAGTCACGCCTTTCTTCTGGCAGTCATCACTATCAAAGTTGCATTTGAATTTGGAGTTTCGCTCAAATTTCCCCCTGAGCATACCAGGTTTAGAGTACATGTCCCCAGCCTAGCTCCCCAAAACCCAAATCTCGAACATAGCCTACACTTCGAACGCAAAAATACGTACGTTGCTCCTGAGCTCCAGTCACCACAGACACAACCTGTTCACACAATGGCCACTTCCGCCCATTGTTCTCACAATATGTCTCCACGATGTCCCTGCCTGAAGAGTGGCTTTTCAACGTATTCACACTAACCTGCTTGAGAGGCAGACTGCATTGCAGCGGGCAGCGCACTTGGTACCAGACCTCCTGATGGTAAAATGCCACTCAGATTTATACCTGCAGGGGCTATGGCACCAGTGTTGCACCCCAACATAGGGTTTGAACCACTCATCAGTGTCTGTGCTCCACTGTAGAAGAGGAAAGACAACACATCAAACCCAAGTGGCACAAGTAAATCTAAGTAACTAAATTTTTGCCCTCTGTCTCACTGCAAGTAAATAAATTGTTTGCTGTAAATGGAATTATGGATAAAGCACCAAGGCAGCTTAAAGAACTGTTACGCCTAGGGCGTAACAAATATGTAAATCCATAATCTCAGCATATACAGGTTTTTTCCTCTGGTATAATCTACGGAAAATAAAACACAAGTGGTTCTTTTATTCTAGAAACACTGAAAGATCAACAGTCTTCAAAATAGTTGTACTATCATAACAAAAATTTAAGGAACAGGTTTGTGTTTTCTTTTTGCACTTAAAAAAAGATTTCTCTAACTAATCAATAGTAGATCAACTGCTGAACACCTTGGGTAACTCAAGTGTCTGATACTTGCTTTGAAGCACACTGTGTCTTACAGTGACCAACTTACAACGATCACAGAATTTCATTTAGTCTGAAACGCAGTTCCTGTTACACCATACAATCTACTCTTGACAGCAGTATTTGTTTTTTTAAAACCACAAAGTGAGTTTTAAAGAATGTTTAACCTCAATGTTTGATTGAATTCTTAGAAAACAAATTTGTTGTTTTCTTATATTTTACATACGACCTTTCATTCATAGGCACTTTAACATCAAATCTCTTTCCATTTTTCATTTAAAGGGGTCTGCATACAATATTCCACTTCCTCGCTGATTAACAAGAAAAGTTTTCAAACTTACAGGGCAAAACTTAAATTGAGGTAAGCCTTATGAAATTAAACTACACGCATCCAAAAAGCCAAAAGCAATAAAGGTCTTTCTTAATAGACCGTTGCAATATTCTGCTGGTAGGTGCCTCATATTTGAGAAATACAAATAATTTCTAGTGGCTCTTTGCTTTGTAATTACAAAAAGAATCATCTTTTTGTATTGCAGATCCTGAAAAATATCTATCCTAATGGGTGCTGGACAGTTCTGTACCACTCCCACCCTCCCGACCCCACCGCCCCAACAACCAACCCACCCAGGGCAAATTAAGAAACCACTGTAACAAAAAAAACTTACCACACAGAGCCCACTACATTGATGAAGTTAAGTCCTGCGGGGTTGGCCATGACCTGGGTGGAGGTTGTTCCTGTAGTAATGGATGTTACCATGGTGGAAAGAGGAATGGTCATTACAGGCAGTGCCTGGCTCAGAGACATTTGCTGCTGAGCAAATGGGGTTAACAAAGTGGGCTGAGGGGTGAAGCCTGAATCTTGGGGAGTAGGGGTGGCAGAAGGGGTAATAGGAGTTGAGCTCTGAGCATCAGGAGGGTGTGGGGTCGATGAAGGGGTGTTGGTTGGAGTAGGAGTAGATGGTTTAGGAGTTCCAGACCCTGCTCATTGAGAAAAATAAAAAGTGCTAGTTTGTTATAAAAGGCCAGTCCTTTTTGTATAATAAGGTTAATGGAATCTTATTTAGCACTGACAGTTTGTTCCAGTTTAGACTGCAAGTGTTAATTTCTGCACAACACGAGCGTTGCAGCACGCACTCATTGTTAAGGATGCAGTATAGTCACACAGAAAACCCATTCTCCATGCTTAATTCCTTAAGCCATACACCGATTTGTATCCTCCAGTAAGTCCTCCCATAATTTATCGTACATTAAGTTACAACTCCATTCAGAAATACTTAAAATAAAACAATCTCTTAGTGACCATTTTAACCTAATTAATGTTTTTGTTCTGAAGTGTTAAACGTATAGTCTATATGCACTGCCTGCACAATAGAATCGTGTTAAAAACATATCATGGAAAACAACAGATCCAACAAAGAACATACACTATTGCAATAATCATGGGGTCAATCTAAATTTCATTAGATAGCTAAACTCCCATTTGCCAAATTTTGATCAAATAAAAATATTTTTTTAATATTTAAGCACTAGAGAATAATACTGCATCTTTAAAAGTTACTGTGTAATGCCTTCTGCTTAAGTGTAGCATGTATAATAGCTATGTTTGTTGTGGATGCAGTAAGCACAGCTTATCAATAGAAAACAAAAACAAAAACCCCAAAAAGCTTGAGGTGTTTTTTTTTTTTCCTTTCCTTTTGTTTTTAGCTTTCATGTCCTGCAGAAAGAAAGGAAATAGATGTGGATGTCCAGCTGTTGTGACCAGAGCCTTAAAGTAACAACTGTGTGCAGCAGATTGACATGACTCATAGCACTGACATAAAAACAGAGTAGATATGTTAGAAGAAAACTTTTACAAGTTTTCTTTTTTTCTTTGTGCAAAACAAGAAGGCAGAAAATTTACACCCTTTGAGCTATCCAGATTTTAAATTATTTAATGCAAAAAGTGTATTATAATACTGTGCAGGATACTGGGATGTGCAGTATACAATTATTCATTAAAAACCTGAAAAACTGCAGCTAGGGCTTCTCTTCATACAAATTTGTTCACGAAATGTCTCAAGACGCATGCATGTTTTAAAAAATGTTTATGACCTATACCTATGATTACAATGATCCTGTCAGTGTTAATGAAAATACTTAAACTAGGATGCCACTTCTTACTGAAATATACATTTTAACGCCTGAGAATATGGTGCCATCAGCATCAGCATCACCGCCACACTTTTCAATCAGCAATGATTTGTAAAACAGTGTAGGAGTGTTTTAGAAAAATCATCTTATCGTTTATTGTGTCACCACCTTGGGACTGATCAGATTATATACATACACAGAGATACAACTGCACCAGCTCCTATAACATTTAAAAAAACCAGATGCTTAAATTATGTAAAGGCAAACTGATCTAACATACTGTTTTTACACTGGAGGAAAAAAAAAAAAATCTACACTTCGGAATTTTATCTCATCACATCATCTACTAGCCTTTCATAAATGAGGATATCATACTAATTGCATAAAATGTATTAAAACGTATACACAGAGGGTGCATACATATATACAGAAAAAACGAACACAGTTACAATAAACATAAAATACATACAGTGAACAAGAGACCTGCCTAAAGCTGCACAACTTATACAATTTAGGGTACACTGTACACTTCAGTTTCATCATTCCACAGGTTAAGAAGTTTATCTCAGGAAGCATTTATGCAAAAGCCTAAGATTTAATGGAGAATTTAGGTCGTGACTCACTTTGTGAAGAGCTCGCAGGAGACATGGCAGCTGGAGAGAGCATGCTAACTTGATTAAGATCCATAGATTGTTTCCGAGAAAGACCAGGAGGCTTAGAAGAAGGAGGAGGAGGAGTTGGGGATTTTAGATGGCCACTTGACTGTTGTGGACTAAAAATATTACCTGAAAAAGTATAATTAAAACACATTACTGTTCTGCGAGTACATGTTAACTCAAATATTCATTAGGATTCAATTTCGTGAACAATATAATAGGAAATAAAAAAACCGATGCTCTTTTCACAGATAAAAATACTGATTTTGTTTTTTTATTAAATCTTTACTAAAGGGATATCATGTCATTCTACAGCAGGCAGAACACATAAAAAGGAGACACCCAAGTCAATAAATAATTACCTGAAGAGCTACTTCCTGAACTTGAAGGTAATTTGATGGGAGGAGGTCGGTGTTTTACACCTTTCCCCAATACTGAAGACTGAACAGAGCCTGATACACTTTCTGGCTGCTAGGAGGAAAGAGAAATTAACACTACCACGGCATAATGTGAGCTTCCACATATTCAGCAGAAAAGACAATTATATTATTTTGTATTAGGCTTCTCAAAACCATGACAAAATTCCCTTCAAACATTTCAGGTTTTTATTTATTTATTTAAAAAACACAACCTATGACCGACCCTTTTTAGATAAAGTGCTTGCCATCAAGAAACAGCTTGAAAGTGTTTGTAAAATGTAAACCAAGCAAAAAATTAAAAAAAACTATTAAAAAGTGTCACTTTTCTTCGCAATTCTGAAATCCTTCCTAGTAATTTTCACAAATGCAAGAGGGACAGATGGACTTTAAATAAAAGGATAATTTGGTCTTACTCGAAAAATCACATCATTTTGTTCATTCTCCATCTGTATACATCTGCCATTTCCAACCAAATGGAATTAGAGAATGGGAGCAGGAACTTAAATACATTCAGGAAAATCCTGAATAAGCAGAAATCAACAGACATTTTCCCACTGACTTCAGAAACTTAGAACTTCACTAATCTTTTTAGAGGGAAGGTGCTCCCTTTTTGTTTGTTCTTATAACCTACTTATCAGGTTGTTTGACTTCATAAATTGACTTCAGCTAAGCAAGTCTGTGGTTCTCAGTCACCCACAATAGACCCTAAATCCTTAATTCCAACAGCTGACACCATCAAAAGACTCGAGTGAAACACATTTACAGTTATAGTCTATACATTTTTACTTACAAAGCATGTATCCCATAAATTAATGTCTAAACAAACATACAGTCCACAAACTGCTGAAAGTAGAAAATGAGGCTGTCAGTATAGTGAATGGAACATTTCAATGTTGGAGCCTAAATCTTATGTGCTTGGACTGACAAATTGCAGCATTCAGCATTGTGCAGAATCAACATTTTTGGAGAGCTTAGCTTCCAGTGATTCTCAGTAATAAAAGCCAGTCCCTCTACATGTTTCTAATTGCTTGCTTATAAATAAGAATCTTTTGAGGCAAATTCTGAGGACTACCTTTCTCTTCTACTATTAAAACCTGCTTTCTTCAGTCTAAAAATAAAGACTGATGCCCCATTCAAAAGGGGACTAGATCATTAAGTACAGTAACCTGAGTAACTTTAGTCCAGCTTTCAGTGAGGGCTTGGACAGCCAGACAAGATGACTTCCAGCAGTACCGTCCCACTCTAAGTAATTCTATGATTTTAATCTATATATACACACAGACATATATATATGCACACATGTGCATGCCTATGTCTGTATGCGCATACACACAGAAACATTCATATTCCTTTCCGCAACTGCTGGCCTCTGCATGCTGTTCTTCCGGCTGACACCAAGAACTGACTCTTTCAGAGCAACGTTCTGACATTTAAAAGTAGCCATTTAGGGGAAAGATGTAGCAAAGGAAATAGCCCAGGGGTAAAAAATTCATTTACTAGTTGGAGCCTAAATACAGCTTGGCACCAGAGTACTGAATCTGACTAAGAAAGCCAGAAGCAGCAAGTAAAACACAAGGCAAAGCCAACAGGCACGAGAATTTGGGAATGCAGGGATTTCTACTGGATGTGTGCATGCAAACACATTCACTTCAAAGTTTTTGGTGGGTGGTTTTGTTGGTGGTTTTTTGGTTTTTTTTTTGGTTGGGGATTTTTTGGAAAGTTTTCCTCTTCAAAGTAAAGAGAAAATAATTTTAGTAATTTCTCAGATACTAAATCTGCTTCTGTGTTTACTGACCTGTAAAATAAAATGCATAGCTGCATTTTACTATACTGCTCTGTGAAAAGTTCAGATGAACAGGGAGGGGAAAATGCTACAACAAAATCTTGGAGCTGACCATACTATACGTGGGGAAAAAAAAAAAGGTATGGCTAAAAGACACAACATTTGACTAGTGGAAACAAAAGTGCTTTCCTCCAACTTTTTCAATATACTGACATGGAATGATGATGACAATAAAACACATTAAAATTAATTCAGAATGAAATTTTTAGGTTATTTTACTTTTAAATGTGGATAGCAAAAATTGTTCTAATAATTCAATAATCAATTGCAAATAAAAGAAATATACAGCTTGATAAACTCACTTCCATTTCCTTCCCTGGAGAAAGATGACTAAGGTTGACTGATCCACTGGAATTATGAAACATTTTCACAGGACATTTAGCTTCATTTTGTACTAACTCCTGATACTGGTTCACCACCCTGAAACAAACAATGAGGACATAAAAAGATTAACAACTTTGAACTTCTAAAGTAGATACATATATGTAAACATACAATTGTATGTGTTACATAGTCATATAATATATATTTTATACACAATTACATAGTACGTAAGTATATATATATAAAATAGAGACGCACATATATAAAATATATCTATATCTCTATATATCTTTCTACTTTATGCTCCTGGGCTCTTTTCTTAGATGTATTCTATTTTAATTTTTATTCTAATGCAAAATACAGTTTAAGAAACAAGTTCAAGAAACACTCTTTTGGAGGGACAAGCAAAACAGCCAACAGAACAGTTCCCTTCCCAAAAGCAACTGCAGTTCTTTGGGTTGTCAGTCAATGAGGATCATTCCCTTCACAGGGGTCCAGAATCTTTTACAAAGCTGTGTTCTCTGCTTATGCCCCCTGTGGAACAGTCAACCCTCTTTTAACTGGAGGTCTAGGTCAGCTGAGGACTCTGAAGGCAAGGGATGAACTAAGAGGTCCATACTGAATGTACGTCCAAGAACCAGTTATCACAGCAAAAGTGATCACTCTCTGAGCACCAGGACAGCCAGGTCTTACCCTATGAGACTAATGAGCAGTGATGGATCCAGGAATTTAAAGCATGAATAGCATCAGGCAAACAAGTTTAAAATACTGCTCTACCAAATCAAATACTGCACCTCTACTAACCTGCGAGAACTAAGTTGAGTGAATACTGTTTCACAAATATGAGCAGAATATACAAAGTGACCAAGCAGACTTGAAAATCCAGCTGAAGGGCTGTTGTCACACTCTGGCAGAACAAACCTCAATGAAAAACTGCTGCAATACTTCCCCCAGCTTACACCCAAATGCGATGAACCACGCTTCATTTTGGTATAGCACTGATTCAATATGCTGTTACGTGACTAATGCAGACATAAGCAAGGGCCCCAAGATACACGGCAGAGGAAAGGGGGCAGTGTACTTTTTTCAGCAATTACATTTTACATTGCCTTAAATTACAGTAGAATCAAAGTAACAAAATGCCGTGTACTCAAAAAGGTGGCCCTGCCCTCCTTCCTCCTCTACTGTTTCTTCTTGTCCTAGTCCCTGAAACCCAACGGCTTATTCTGATAGAAGGATTTGTACAACCCAGCGACAAACCTATCAGGAAATCAATCCCTAGACCCTCGTATCATTGTTCAGGTAGTTTTCAGCCAACCAATCCCCCAATTCATCTTACAGCATGAACAGGAAAAGTCTCTATCAGCACAAAGGAGGCAGAAGCAAATATTAACAAGAAGTTTCTTGATCAAGATTATCTAGTAAAACAAACGACATTATTACTGACTTTTGACCAAATCAAGGACCCATCTCCCTGCCAGGCACGTAGGAGTGTGGGGGGTTAAGAGCTATGGCATGTCCATCACCTCGAGGTCTCCTTTGAAGGCACAAATCCAGAATTGGCTTTCACAGAGATTGTTCTTTAAAGGTTCTTGTGCTCATATGCACAAAGAAACAGAGGTATCTGTAACATGATGCACACTGACAAGTATTTGATAACTGCCGCCTCAGTTATCCAAGAATTGCTACTCCTAATCACGCTACAACTAAAATACATTGGAAAACCGTTTTGTAACTTGCTTCTCGAATAAAGCTGAATCCAGTAATGCACAACACACAAAAATAAGTTGTATATATATTAAGTGCTAGATTACACTTAAAGTTCAAATGAACAATTTCCATGATTGCTAATCTACCATACAAAATGTCAAGACGAAACTCCTGCTAAATGCTCTCAGAATTTCATTATTACCTGTGTAATCACGAATAATTGTGCAAATAACTGTAGCAACATGCTTGAAATTTAGGTAGCGGAAAAAGCTGTATTCACTTATTTGCTTTCCTCTATTCTTCCTTGCTTGTTAAATACAGAAACTGCACACTATATCCTATTTCTTGTTATGATGATTAATTAATCTTATTTTCCTCATCTGTTCTGCATCTGTTTTCATAATCACAACATTAGCAGTCATAATGACTACAAGGAACAAAATTAATTATTTGGCATCAAGCCAAATGGTTGTACATACTATATTAATTTACCTTTCAGCATCAGTCTTCGAACCAATAAGGAACCTGAAATGGAAAATGTAAACATGTTCTCAGTCACGAATTGAACTAAAAGAATATTTTTTTTAAATCACAAAACTGTCAATGCTGCTCTTTTTTCACACCTGCTGAAAATAGAAGTCCATTTAATGGACTGGGTATTATTTAGTACTTGAAATACAAACTTGGTTTCAGAACTATGTATACACATGGTCTAATATGGTGCCCTTTAAGAGTAAATTACCTAGAAAGCAAAAGGCAGAATGTAGAAGTTCTCTATTTTACACTTTCCAAAAAATGGAAGTGAATAACTGCTACAGAATTGCTACTGTAAAAAGCACAAGGTAAAAGTTATGTATAAAATAAAACTATCAACATGCTCACACTGAAATATAAACATAAGTGTCCTGTGGGTATGGCAGAAACACCCCTACCTGTAATATTTTAACAAACATTTTGTTCCCATTATTTGATTTCACTTATGCAAATTCCAATTTCCTCGTGATCTTCCAGAACTCCTAAATAAGCATTTCTTTTTTTGTGTCATACTTACGGCTTGCAAACTTAGCACTTCAGTGATTTTTTTTTGTTGTTTTTGTAAACACTATAGACCTTTTCTCTGTTTCTCTGGCTCAAAAAAATAAATATTTTATTTTACAGCAGAACAACAAAAATGTCTTCTGCACCTTTCACTTCACATGACATCGCTTTCTAATGAGGAAGTATCCAAATGTTGATGAACTTCAACTGGTAATGTCTTAAAAATAATGGACTAGAGCAGTGATTTCCAAAAACCCCCAGGCACCTAAAACCTATAAAACCTTCTAATTCCTAGGCTTACTACACAACTGTAAGGCAGCACTTCTCTTCTAGGAAGACCAGTACCAAGTACATGTGCTGGAGTGGCTGGGGTAGAGTTAATTTTCTTCACAGGAGCTAGTATGGGCTGTGGTTTGGATTTGTGCTGGAAACAGTGTTGATAACCCAGGGATGTTTCAGTTACAGCTGAGCGGTGCTTGCACAGAGCCAAGGCCTCTTCTGCTTCTCTCATCACCCGCCAGTGCGTGGGCTGTGGGTGCACAAGGAGTTGGGAGGGGACACAGCCGGGACAGCTGACCCCAACTGACCAAAGCGATATCCCACACCGTGTGACATCATGCTCAGCATATAAAGCTGGGGGAAGAAGGAGGAAGGGGGGGCATTCAGAGTGATGGCGTTTGTCTGCCCAGGTAACCATTACATGTGATGGAGCTCTGCTGTCCTGGAGATGGCTGAACACCTGCCTGCCGATGGGAAGCAACGAATTAATTCCTTGGTTTGCTTTGCTTGTGTGCATGGCTTTTGCTTTACCTATTAAACTGTCTTTATCTCAAGCCACAAGTTTTCTCACTTTTGCCCTTCTGATTCTCTCTCCCAATTGGTTGGTCCCAATACCAACCCTTAAAGAACGCCACTCGTCACTGATCTCCACTCAGACATCAAGATGTAACATAAACATAAATTTAAGATATATTGGTTGCTTGTTTTTTTCTTTTTGTTCAAAAAACTTTAGGTTCATTAGCTGAATTTTTCAAACAAAACTCTTAGATCAGATTTCTAGCTCTGGAGTACTTTTATGACTGAAAATGATAAGTAATGCTTGTCTTCCTTCAGCTATCAGACCACAGCACAACTTAAAAGAACATGTAACTTACTGTGACGGAGCTAATAGGTTGTCATTTTCCTCATCACCTTTGAGTGTCTGAATTTTACCGTAATACAAGGGATTTCCAAGAGACTGAAAAATCGTCAGTTTTGTTTTTTGAAGCTGATTACCAACTTCACATTCAAACACATAATCATCTTTTATTTCCTAAAAAGATGGGAGAAAATAACCAAGTAAATCTTAGAGCTAGTAAAATATGCCAGATCTATACAATACAGTAAGAAACACCCTATAAAAAAGGTAAGTATATATACTCTATAAGAAGTGGTGCATTATCTAAAATGAAAGTGATTTGAGAAGAAGTTGTTCTGAGTAAAAAGTTGGAGATGAAGATTAAGTTCTATGAGAAGGTATTACTTTTTGCTAATATGAAACTACAAAGACATCATGATAGATGCTGTTAATAAAAACAGTATCTCACCTCTGGAATTACAAAGAATTAATGAATTCATTTATGGCTAATTATACTGTATGCCTACTTCTTATCAAGTCATGCAATTTGTGCCAAAAAACTTAAGGTTCAACTTAAACACGGCAGAAAGAGCTTTTTGTAAGAGGTATTTAATATTACTTAATCTCTTTCTAAATTTAACATTTTAACAGAAGCTCTTTTTCACGAATCTTTTGAGCATCTGTGTGAAGAAAGCAATTTTTCGAGCAGAGTACTGCTCTCTGTAAAGTATTATGCTTTCTTTACTATTCAGCAACAGCACATGTTACTTAGGACATTAAATTTGCTTTTCCTTGTATTTCAGGAAAACTTGAGGAAGTAACAAGACTGATCACATGCATACTGCACTGTATGAAATGACAACTATCTGTGGTCATCTTTCTGTGTCTATATGGCACATGGAAGATTAATTAATTAATTTGGGGGAGGGAAGATTATTCCCACATTACTTTGATTTTGTTGAAATAAGAGGCATTTTAATTAAAGACAGAGAAGTTTGCCCAAAGGTCTAACCTACTCACATGTGCTGGCCAGACAGTTGGTTGTGAGTCATCAGGCTTGATAGACTTTTCCACTTTGGCATATTTTTCCACCTTAAAGAAAATGGAGATACCAGGAAAGAAAGAACAACAGTCACATTGGGCCAGAGTTAAAGTCCATCTAGCACAGCTTCTTGTTTTTAACTGTGACTAACACTATGGGCTTAAAAAGTGAGTGCAAGAAACAAGACAAGAATAGCTTGAAACTTTGTACAGCATCCCCTCTTTGTGTTATGCATTCAGAAAAAGTAAACTGGAGAACTTTACATTTATTCTGTTATCTCACATTTACTACATAAACTTAACAGAAGTTTGAAACATGGCTTAAGACTACAGACCGCAGTCACTGCCTGCAATGTGGAATGGTTAAGAATTTCCCAGTACTAGTAACTCCTAAAGACTCCGACGAGGTCAGGTGCAACACTGTCGAAGTGCAAAGAGACAGGAGGTTTGTACAAAGTTACAGCATCGTTTCATGTATAATGCACACTCTTGCCAGCCCTATTAAGTCCAAAGCTACAGTCTTGTCTAGTCTACTGAGTCCCTTCTGCATGCTAGTAGTATGTGTTCTGGCAGTGCCAGAAACTGAGAATGTGAATGTCCCTGAGAGAAGAACGCACAACAGAGAGTGATCAGAAGAATCCCCAACTCAAGTTCTCTGTATAAAAAATTAAACTATTGAAAATACGATGTCCCATAGTATGGTAACATGTCAAAAAAGAAGTATTTCTACCAAGCTGAGAAATTACTAATTTTAAAATAATTTTGTTCTCCTTACTTTTCCTATTTGTTATATTACCAAACTTCAAATAGACATGTGCTCACTGAACCCACAGATGAGCGACACCAAAGGTCTGTTTGAACTACTTATCTCATCCAAACTACCACATTACAGTTGCAATGTATTCCAATGTGGTTTAGCTTGTGTTTATACCTTACAGTAAAAGAAAAATAATTTTAAACATTAAAGTCACTCCCATTTTTTAAAGGTCATTCTTTGACACTGGATACTCTGTAGTCACTTCTTTATACAATACAATTGCTAATAATTGCTAATGCTAACAACAGGACTTACATCCACTTCAGAAGGTGCAGTCAAGTAGCAAGGGTTCTGTTTCCACATATCTACGCACTGGAAAGTGAAGAAAAAGAAGAAGTATTAATATATTAAATGTTTTAAATAAATAGTTAGAAGTATACCCACCGATGTCTCAGAACACTTACATTTCCAGCTTTAGAAATTTTGAGGTCATACTGCTGGGCTCCTTTCCTCTCCTTTCTTTTCTGTAAGTAGTCAAGTAGTCTAAGCTGAGGTGGAGTTGAGTAGTGAGCTACTTCCTGCTGTCTGTTCAGAGACGACCTTGAGTACCTTTTGAAGCACCTATGGTAAAATGACAGATAAGCTTGTGAAACCATCAAAATTAAATTCCCCACTGCCTGTGTACAAACACAAAAATATGCAGAAAAATGCTACTTACATTCAGACGAAAAGGCAGGTTTTGAAATATTAATATAAAATTGCTATACTGGATTAAACTGTACAAATCAAACTCTTAGTTTCATATTTTTAAAAAATACTAGTATTCTGTTCATGTCTTTCAGCACTAAGAATGGGGTTATTTTTGAAATGCATGATTGAAGTACATTGTCAAAATGAGTAACTAACTGAGAAGTTGCCAAGCTTAAAATATTTCTATATTATAGATTTCAGTTCTGTCACAAGATCTGTGTACTGCTTATGTAACTATAAAGTTAGAAAGACAGTAACTACTCTCCATTCTTTGTCATCTGCCAAACCCATTTTTACATTAATGCTGTTCTGGACATTCATTTAACACCTTTGCTTCTTTTTCTGGTGGAATGTTTGTCGATCATCAAGCTCTGATTTTACAGACACTCACAAATCCACAGGCCCTGATGGGATGCACCAGTGAGCACTGAGGGAGCTGGCAGATGCTGTTGCTACACCACTCTCGATCATCTCTGAAAGGCTGTGGCAAACAGGAGAGGTGCCTGAGGACCGGAGCAAAGCCAATGTCACTCCAGTCTTCAGAAAGGCCAAGAAGGAGGACCCAGGAAACTACAGGCCAGTCAGCCTCACCTCCATCCCTGGAAAGGTGATGGAACAACTCATTCTGGCTGTTATCTCTGAACAGGTGGAGGAAAAGAAGGTTATCAGGAGTAGTCAGCATGGATTCACAAAGGGGAAGTTACGCCTGACCAACATGATAGGTTCCTTTGATGGTATGAGTGGCTGAGCAGATGAGGGGAAAGCAGTGGATGTTGTCTACCTTGACTTCAGCAAGGCTTTTGACACTGTCTCCCACAACATCCTCATAGGGAAGCTTTAGAAGTGTGGGATAAATGAGTGGACAGTGATGTGGTTTGAGAACTGGTCCTGGAGCTAGCAGTGTTCCCCAGGGGTCAGTACTGGGTTCAGTCTTGTTCAACATATTCATCAATGACCTGGATGAAGGGACAGAGTGCACCCTCAGCAAGTTTGCTGGTGATACAAAACTAGGAGTGGCTGACACACCAGAGGGCTGTGCTGCCATTCAGCAAGACCTGGACAGGCTGGAGAGCTGGGCAGAGAGGAACCTGATGAGATTTGATAAGGGCAAGTGTAGGGTCCTGCACCCGGGAAGGAATAACCCCATGTACAGGTACAGGTTGGGGGCTGACATGCTGGAGAGCAGCTCTGCGGAGAAGGACCTGGGAGTCCTGGTGGACAGAAAGTTATCCATGAGCCAGAAACATGCCCTTGTGGCCAAGAAGGCCAATGGTATCCTGGGGTGCATTAAGAAGAGTGTGGCCAGCAGGTCGAGGGAGGTTCTTCTCCTCCTCTACTCTGCCCTAGTAAGGCCACATCCAGAGTATTGTGTCCAGTTCTGCGCCCCCAAGTTCAAGAGAGACAGGGAACTACTGGAGAGAGTCCAGCAGAGGGCTACAAAGATGATTAGGCAAGTGGAGCATCTCTCTTATGAGGAAAGGATGAGAGACCTGGGGCTCTTTAGCCTGGAGAAGACTGAGAGGGGTCCTTATCAGTGCTTATGAATATCTAAAGGGCGGGTGCTAAGAGGATGGGGCCAGGCTCTTTTCAGTGGTGCCTAGTGACAGGACAAGGGGCAATGGGCACAAACTGGAGCACAGGAAGTTCTGCCTCAACATGATGAAAAATTTCTTTACATTGAGGGTGACAGAGCACTGGAACAGGCTGCCCAGGGAGGGTGGGGAGTCTCCTTCTCTGGAGATATTCAAAACCCACCTGGATGCAGTCCTGTTCGACCTGCTCTAGGAGAACCTGCTTTAGCAAGGAGTTGGACTAGATGATCTCCAGAGGTCCCTTCCAACCTTTATCATTCTGTGATTCTGTGACAGCTCAATCAATTTCACTGTTTACACTTTTTTAGACATTACCACTGGTTGTACATTAGCATAGTATTGCAATGCAAATCTAGTTTTAAATATTTCAGTAATTCTGACAGACCATTAGTACATTTTCATTCTACAGAGTGAATGCAACTCTCTTAGTAGAACAAATGTGAACCACTTCAAGGTTTTGTGGAAAAAAAGTGAACAACCATGCACAAAAGTGAAACAATTTCAATGCTTTGTATATAGTGCATTCCACATTACTTTTAAGTTTTCTAAGATTCTAGTATGCCTACACTTCTGTTTAGTCTGAACATCAAGCATATAAATAAATTCCCTTGATTTCCTCGTTCAGGGTTAAATTTGTACATAGCTTTTAACAAATCGTAGACCATCATGCATCTTATCCATTTATATGTTTTACATTACTGAGCTGCCATCTGTCTCAGCTTACAGCTGAATTCTCTAAAAGGACAAAATCAAAACTGCAATATAATGCATTCTGTTAAGAGAATTATATACACATTCTTATGATATACAAAAATAAGCATTACAGTATCTACTACTAATTGATACATAGTACAATATTGAGCACTAAAAAATAAGATATAATTTCTTGACTGTTCCTCATATTCCTAATACTTAAATAGATATGACATATGAGAAGCAAAATTTTCACATAAATCATTACTTATATTTTTCTTTAAAACACTTAATAAAATTTCACAGAAAGTCTCAACGTGCTTCACACTGAAACCTACCGTTTCATGGGGCGAGTATTCATCTTCTGCTTGTTGTACAGGAGCCTGTTTGTAGTACAGGTCACTGCTATTGAAGGATCAAGACACAAAGGCTCTGCAGTAGCCAAAATAAGTTGGCTCTCAAGTAGGAGTTTGTCCTCCTGTAACATACACAGCTATTAATAAACGTCAAAATATGAAGACTTTTACACTAATTAAGTTGATATATACCTATGCATATGTGCATGTTATCTTTAAGAAAACTGAAAATATTGTGTGTGGATAGTCAACAAAAGAAAATATCCAACAGTTAAGTATCATTAACCATCATTATGTGTTACAGAGCTCTGGGTGGGTTTTCTAACAGGAAAAGAAATCCTTCTGAAAAGTAGGGGGCATGTTCTGCTTTTTTGTGTTTTCTGTGTTTGTTTTAAACACAGTACTAGGGGCAATGAAATCCTTTTCCTGTCAGTGACTTATATTAACGGACACAATCAGTGCCATAGAGATGATCTACCTGGGACTTCATATTACAATGTGAAATGGATTTGAGCATGGTTGTGGCTCCGAAATACAAACGAGCACATGGAGTATACCATGCTGTTCAGCATTTAACTAACTCTAACTGTACAACTGTAGTTACTTAGGATTCTCTTTATCAATAGCAAAATGATGCTAGAGGAGTACTTGTGTCATTAGACCCCAACTGCTGTTCTGGGGCTGTAAGTTGAAGATGAATGAAGCAAGATAAACTAGTTAGAATAATTCTGCATTACCAAAAATTAAGGTCTGATTCTATTAAACTTTTAGCAAATCCTATTGTTTTCTAGTGCATCTTGTGGGAAGATGTTATTAACAGCTCTCTGGACTGTGCACCATGCACCACTATGCTCATGACTGACAGTTTGAATTAATAAAAAATATCATCAGTTTTGTTTATCAGAATTTACTAAACAAACAATTTAAATACATTTTATTTTACATTTACTGCATCACTGTAAAGTTTTAAAGTAATTCCTAACCCACCTGTGTCCATTTGTGGTTGTCACTTGTTATAGAATGCACATCACAAATTAAAGTCTGAGGAAGAAGATATAACAGGAATTAGCTTTCAACTAAATAAGATTTCTTGACATATGTTCAGTAACAGTTCATATCCAGCCTAGGAACTACCACAACACTGAGGAATGACTTAAAACGCTTCTCACCTGCATTGTAGGACGCAAAAGAATGTGCTTGCTTTGGTACGTTGGAGACTTCATGTTACCAGACTGCCTATAGTCACGTATTTCTGCTATGACACACCCACAATGAAAAATATTAACCTAGTTGAAACAAAAAAAAATTTGTAAATAGTCAAATACTTACCAGTCTGCCTCAGCCCCTCCCTTCAAAAAGCAGTTTGTTATAGATCACACGAAATTGAATAACAATATGAATAATCCCAATCACCAATTTTGTCAGACCAGCAGTCTTTACTATATACCTAGACATACCTAAAACACAGGCTTCAAATGTAGCTTTCTCATATGCCAGCCATGTAGTTCTAAGAAATTCTTATGCCAACAGAAAGAACAAAGGACATTTTACTAGAGCGCAGAGCTGAAGTTGCTTGGCAGCCTAAACCATAGCAATCTCTCTTCTGTCCCTTTCTCCCCAGTATTGTACTGTTTTTCCTATCCATCAATAAAATATTTATTTGGGGCATAAAAATATTACAGTTTCAAATGCACAAGTGTTTTACATCTTGTGGCTATCACCTATGCAAAGCATTCAAAAAAATCAAGGTCTATCTGGGTACAAAATGCAAGTTCTTTCTGAAAACAAAACTTTCAGACCTGAGATTTTTCTAGAAGATCAACCAAAATAGGTGGTAGTTCCTCTGCATCCAAATATTCAAGCAGCTCTCCTTCCTCATAAGGCAGCCGAATGGTCTCAGAATCTGGATTTAAACAAAACATATTGCTTTCTTTTGCCTTTCAAGTTCAACCTTCTCCAACATGAAATCTAAAACAAGCTTGCCACAGGAAAAAGCAGGGCCAGTGGAAATCTAATCAAATAGGAAACTTTTTCACACAGTATTAATTTTTACATCCACTTCTGTTCCCAGAGCTTGATTTTGCTCTTATCGTGCCAAAAGGCAACATGCCTCCATAGCTCAATGGGACAAAATTTTGGCTCCCAGCTGATACACTGTATGCTTTTATTGCACACCACAGTACCAGCGGCATGAAGACAGACTGGGAGAGTTGGAAAAGGCTCCAGGGGGACCTTATAGTGATCTTCCAATACCTGAAAGGGTCTATAAGGCAGCAGGGGAAGAACTGCTCACAAGGATTGGTAGCAATAGGACAAGGGGTAACGGTTTTAAGCTAGAAAAGGGTAGATTTAGGTTGGACATTAGGAAAAAGTTCTTTAATATGAAGGTGGTGAATCACTGGAACAGGTTGCCCAGAGAGGTAGTGGAAGTCCCATCCCTGGAGACATTCAAGGTCAGGCTTGATGCGGCTCTGAGATGTCCCTGCTTATTGTAGGGGGAGGTTGGACTAGATGACCTTTAGAATCCCTTCCAACCCAATACATTCTATGATTCTATGAAGATGCAACCAAAGTGGTACACAGACGCCTTTAGTCAGATCTAGATTCAGGAAGAAGTAAAAGAAACAATTTGACAGAAGGAACCTGAAGCTGAAGAAACTCAGATAAGCAACTCAGGAAGCTATGGGAAAAGAAGAGAATGGAAGGCTACCAAAAAGGCTCAAATCCACTGATTTATGCTGCACTGTTAGAGACTGTTTCAGAGTACCTCACAGCTTTATGTAAATTTTTGGTTCAAGTACAATTGTTGTTTTTTTTTCAGATGGGACTACATTAGAAGTGAAACAGTTAAATGTAAGCAACAACACATTCTATATAGAGTATTCTGAGTATTTTAAAAAATTAAAGAAAAAAAAATATTACCTGAACCATTTTTTCCCCTGAGCATAAGTGAATAACCCTCATTTCCCGGATAGAGGTTCACTACCAAACATGACAACGTCTCCTGCATAACCAGCTTCTCAAGTAAATTCACATTTCGCCTCAGCTTCTGCTTTAAAAGTAAACATTGCTCATGAACATAATACTATCAAGCAATTATTAGAAATAAAAACAATTGCAGGAATGAGTACTATTTAATGTTGAAGTATATATCTAAACAAGCCCAGTTAAATTTAATTGCAGTGGATTCAGCAGAGTATATACATTAAGTATTATTATACATACTTACATACACAGGTTTTTTTAAAAAACCCACTCATTTAAATTAAAAAACCCTTGAATTATAAGTCCACAGACAACACAGTTAACAAGAACGACCCTACGCTACAATGCTGTAAATCTACTCTACACTATTATTTGTATCACTTCTATGAGCATCATTTATACGCTACACATTTTTTGATAACAACAACATTATTTAGTTACTTTCAGATATTCCTAACAGAAGCAGATATTTCTTTCTAGGATCAAAATATTGAATTACAGCACTTGGAAACTTTCTCAATTGCATTGCCTTGTCTGCATTTGCTGAAATCCAATCCAGCAGGTGCAAAGACTACTCCCCTATTTAATTGTAAGAACTACCTTTTCCACATATAACAAGATTTTTAAAATTAATTAGTATGTTTCAAAGACCCCATATACTTTCTACAAATTTAAACGTTTTAAAAGCCCACTTATAACTTAAAACAATCAATTCTAAACCTCAGATAATTTTACACCTTCAGGTTGGAGGCTAGTTTTCCTAGCTGAACACTAGCTCTGGGTGGAGCCATTCACGGGAAATTAACCCTAGTGCTCTACCAAGCCTACCCAACCACTCATTTCACTTACACCCAACTAAGTAGTAGTGGGCTATCTCTTTCTGAACAAATTTATCTTTCCAGAGATACTGAGAAGATAGAAAGCAGAATCATTACTTATAGGTGAATGAACTAAGAGAAAAAGACCAAAACCCCAAATCCCACATCAATACAAACCAACAGATCATTTTAACAGGTATGCAGAGAAAAAGGAGAATCTTTTCCATCTCCTGCTATGTAGTTTTAGAACCATTGCCCAAAGTCAACTTTCCCCTGTGCATCAAGAGTGATGGTGACTACATCTTACTGGCTTTTAGAGTTTAGAAATCATGGAAACTAACACAAGAAAAGGACAAAGTAGCATATAAACCCTAGAGAATTAATGGGGAAAGAACTGTAGCAGCAAGGGACAATGGAGGAAAACATGCCAGGGCAGCAACAGATGCAGAGTGTGCTCAGGAAAGCCAGTTCCTCACACAGCCTGTTAGCAAAACCTTCTTGAGTTAAAACTCCTGTTAACCCCTCCACAACATCAGCCCTAAAACAGGAGGCTGCACATGCACCACTTCAATTTTCAGATACATCACTGAGCAGCAATTGGGCTTTCACTCAGAAATAGTATGATGCAACCTCAGGTACAGTAAATGCCAAAGCAAAGTCAACACTCAACTACCCTGACTTCTTTTGTCTTAAGAACTCAGTCATCTTTTGATGGAAAAGCTGGGGTTTTTTTGTTTGTTTGTTTCGGTGTTGGGTTTTTTTTGTTTTTGTTTTTTTTTTTTTGTTATTTTGGGGGTTTTTTCCCTCAGTGTTGGGTAGATTTGCAGATAACACTAAACTGGGTGGCAGTGTTGCTGGAGGATAGGAAGGCTCTGCAAAGTGATCTGGACAGGCTGAGGCCAATGCTATGAGGT